AATATTTCTAGATTTGTGTTCAAGTTTTTTTTCTTCAGTTTTTTCTTGTTTATGTTTTTTCAGATTCAGCTTTATGAATTTCAATTTTTATTTTTTTTTTAAATTGTGTTTCACAGGTCACATTCTTTTCACTCCAGTGGCTGGGATTTCCTTTGAAGTGAGGAGGAGGAGTGATTTATAGAAGATAATTTAAAATGAAGGCAATACATGATACTACATATGAAAAAAAGAAATAAAAATATATATATTTAAAAAAAAAGTGATAAAATCTACAAATTTTTTTGAAAAAATGACATGTAGAAAAAAAAAACCCACAAATTATTCTGTTACTTCTGATCTGAAGTAGCTCTGGACTCCATAACCAATCAGACTCATGGGAATGTGTGTATTGATAATGAAATAATGATAAAAAAAACTAACACAAAAAGAAAACTCATTAATATTCATATTTTTAAGTAGGTTTATTAACAATATTTTTTCTAGGGTTATTTAAAATATAACATCTAAGGTTAAAATATTCCAAACAAATCAGGAGATTTTAAATCTCAGCAGGTGAAGAGACCCGAGCCGACTCAGTCAGGCTAGAGCTCCATCATTATGGACCAAATATAAAGATAACCGAGGATCTTCGATCCTGCTTTAGTCATACATTAAAATTAAACAAATCAAAAGTTTTTGCCTTATAATTTGTCTTTCTATTTTTAAGCAGTTTTTTTTTCTGAACAAACATCTCATAATAAAACAAAGATTTGGATGAATTGTAGAATTCTTTGTCCTTGCATCTCATGTTTAAAAACTATAAATAAGAATGAAATAAAATCTATTTGGGAAAACAAAATATAGTGCATGCCTAAAGTAGACATGTTAGGAAAGTCAAGACGTGCAAAGTTATTTGATTGGGCTCCATTTAAATGGTGCTCTAATAGCGGTTTGGAACCAGCAAAAATATGCCTAAATAACCATCCTGAAAGAAATATTAAAATTTTCTTTATAAATATAGTGCGATCATCTCTAACCTGCTGGACTGAACTCAGGGACTGTTAATCCAGTCCCTGAGGGTCAGTGTCCTGCACCTTTTAGATGCATCCCTGCTTTAATACCTGAATCAAATAATTAGCTCCTTTGCAAAACTCACGAGTATTTGACTTCAACTGAGGAGGTATTAAAGTTATTTGATTCAGGTGTGTTGGGCCAGGGAGATATCTAAAAGTTGCACGATAGTGGCCAATGAGGGCCTGCCATAAGGCAACATTAAGGGAGAACAGAAATCGCTTCTGCCAAGTTGGAGACGCATTCCGGAGACTGGTGCATCTATGGGGTGATTATTGTTACAATTTATTGTACGGTGTTTTTCCAGACATGCTACAGTATTTAAATTCAGTAATTTTTTTTCTTTTTTCTATTAACTGCATAAAGATTGTTTGCAGTTAATCAAGTGTATTAATCTGCCCCACCCAGATATCTTTTTCATCACTATTTTTCATTAGATTGCGTGCATGCAGACTATCTCACCATCATTTGTCATTGTAGCAGTGCCTACTTCTCCAATCTATAACCAGAGAAATTAATGTGTGAGTATGCACCTGACTTTCAATTTTAGTAAAGTTAAACAGCAGCTTTTTGGTTTGATGCAGGTTGTAAGGACTTACATTAGCTTTTTTTTTCCACGTATACATTTCTGAGCTTTGGTATTAGAATATAATCTATATATTTATAAATGCAAAATAGTTTGCACCTGTAGTTCTGCCCATGCAATATGAATCACAACTGTTTTAAAGATCAGCTTTGCTCATATTTATTTAAGTTTTATAAATGTTTTAAAACATTTTATGCTCTGACTTGAGTTTCACAGTTTCCAGGTTAAATGCGGATGAAGTTTTGGACTCAGGAACATTAATGTTCTTTTGGAGGTTCCTTAAAGGTCCAAAAGAAACCACAACTTCTTCAGTTTTTGCTCTAGTAGTAATTTCCGAACCTGTTTTCACATCAATTAAACATAATATTCTAGGAATAAAAAACAACAGATAAACAATATAGTTTGTGTTTTCTGACGGATTGGGACATTTCTGAGATGAGAAAACATCAGAATGGATGGATCACAGCTGGTTTGGCTCCTGTTTGACTGAGGGAGCAGGAGATCTAGAATAAACAGGTGACAATGTTATTCCTGTTGGAGAAAACGGAAATCTAAAGTTTTCTAAACAGACCAAGGAGGCTGCTCAGATTGAGCCAGATAGATCAACATTTATCTGGGTCAGACAATGCTCTGGCACATTCATTTAGGGGGGGGGGTTACTCCATGTTAAGAATGAATATTGAATCTAGAAAATATGGAAAGTTGATATATTCCTTTATTCCTCTGAAAATGACCAAAAAGATTTTTCTTAGAAGCAAAAATAGAGATTCTCTGACTGAATCTGGCTGTTGTGCAGTTTTCACCATGTTCATTAGTAAGAAAAAAACAAACAAAACAAAAAATCACTGACTTTATGTCTGCAGGGCAAATAATTCAGCAGCTAAATCAGCAGTTTCATCATTTCTGGTAGAATGTTTTTAGTCTCTTTTGGCAAAAATAATGAATAAAATCTAAGTGCAAATATAGAATAAGAACAAATAAATATATAAATAGATTTCTTAACTAAAATCGAAGTGATTAAAGGCTCACCTGTTAGTTTTCCTACTTATTATTGTTTAAGTTTAAAGATGGTTTTGTCTCAGTGTATCATCGGACTTAAGATGAAAAGCTGAAAATAAACTTTATTAGTAATGAAATAAGCTCCTTTATGGAAAAAAATACGCAATTAAAAAACAGCAACAAGAAATATTGAAAACAGTTCTGATTTTCCGTGTTTTTATTTTATTTTATGTATTTTATAACTTTATAACGCCTTTATCCGAGTTTAAACTGTAATATAAAGTAGAGTTGTGTGTTGCTGTTGGTTCCCACCTGTTTGGAGCTCAGCAGCGGGGTCCGGTGCAGCAGCAGGCGGAGTTTGGAGTCTCTTTGAGCGGCGGAGGAGCAGCTGATGGAGGCGCTGAGGGAGAGGAGGAGCAGGAGGAGGCAGCGGAGGCTCAGGGAGGAGAACATCTTCAACATCTGTCTGCTCGTAGCTCGGCGGGTCTTCTGGGTCTGTCCCGGGAGAGAGCGGCTCTTATAAAGCCCTGCTGGCGTCACCCTGATGGACGGAGGGGGTGACTGATGATGATGATCATCATCATCATGTTTCCATAGTTTAGTCAAATGATCCGTTTTTAAGCTTCTCTTCGTGTTTCCTGTTAAACGGTTTAATGTTTACCAACCTGAGGCCCGCAGACCCAGAGGAGGACGGCCAGAATGTTTAAATGGGAAATTATTCTGGCTTAAATGTACTCTTTATTAGACCATATTGTCCCAAAATTTAGAAAATTTCTATAAAAAAAAAAAAATCCTGTCTTAAAGTCTGTGTTTTTTCCCATTATCGTCATCATTATATACATCAGCCTGTACGCCCAAATTCAGCCAATCATATATCAATGTTCATCTGTCAGTCACATTTTTTCGGACATAGCATCTTGATTCATATGTCGCAGCTAATATATGCAACAGTTGAAATAAGAAATAAGAACCATTTATTCTTTCCTATTAAGTTCCGTCCCAGTGTTCACAGGGATGGACGTCTGTGTCTGCAGCAGGCGTAGAGCTAACAGTGTTGGGATCTGGAGGCTTTGTCCACCTTCTCCACCAGAGGGCGCACAAGATCTCCTGAGGGCATGAGCTGACTGCGACACCTGTCTTCCATCTGCTCATCAAGGAAGCCCTATTTAAGGAGGAGGAGGCTGACACTTCCCTGCCACAGTG